CTGTGTCAGGTAGACCGACTCTTGCCTGCATCTACTACTATTACTCCACACATCGGCCGACTCCTGTCTGCATCTAGAGTATTAAGTTCATGAAGAACAGAGTAACGCTTTAAGTAAGATGACATGATGTAGAGGAATAAACTCAAGCAATATGATGTAAACAACATCTTTTTATCCTTGATGGCAACAATACAATACGTGCCTCACTACCCCTACTGCCACTAGGAGAGGACACCGCAAGATTGAACTCAAAGCTAAGCACTTCTCCCATTGCAAGAAAAACCAATCTAGTTGGCCAAACAAAACTGATAGTTCGAAGAGTATTACAAAGATATCAAATCATGCATAAAAGAATTCAGAGAAGATTCAAATAATATTCATAGATAAGCTGATCATAAATCCACAATTCATCGGATCTTGACAAACACACCGCAAAAGAAGATTACATCAGATAGATCTCCAAAAACATCAAGGAGAACATGGTATTGAGAATCAAAGAGAGAGAGAAGAAGCCATCTAGCTACTAGCTATGGACCCGTAGGTCTGAGGTAAACTACTCCCGCTTCATCGAAGGGGCAATAGAGTTGATGTAGATGCCCTCCGTGATCGAATCCCCCTCCGCAGGATGCCTGAAAAGGCCCCAAGATGGGATCTCACGGGAACAGAATGTTGCGGCGGTGGAAAAGTGTTTTCGATGATGCTTCTAGTGGTTTGAGAATATATGTGAATATATAGGAGGCAGAATTAGGTCAGGGGAGTGACGAGAGGCCCATAAGGTAGGGGGGCGCGCCCTACCCCCCTAGGCGCGCCCTCCCCCTTGTCGCCAACTCGTGGCTCTTCTCACTTGATCTTCAAGTCTCCAGGGTGTCTTTTGGTCCAAGAAAAATCACCGGAAGATTTTATTCCGTCTAGACTCCATTTGGTATTTTTTTCGGCGAAGCTCAAAAACAAGGAAAAACAAGAAACTGGCACTGGGCCCTAGGTTAATAAGCTAGTCCCAAAAATAATATAAAATAGCATACTAATGGATATAAATGATTCAAAACAGATAATATAATAGCATGGAACAATAAAAAATTATAGATACGTTGGAGACATATCAAGGACACATTGGAATTATCGTCTAGTCACTTTCATCATGTTTAGTTGATTTGCGTTCGCTACTTTGATAATTTGATATGTGGGTGTATCGATGCTTGGGCGTTGTTCTTACTTGAACAAGAATCCCACTTATAATTACCCCCTCTCGCTAGCATCCGCAACTATGAAAGAAAAATTAAAATAAATCTAACCATAGCATAAAACATATGGATCCAAATCAGTCCATTACGGAATAACGCATAAACTAGGGTTTAAACTTCTGTCACTATAGTAACCCATCATCTACTTATTACTCCACAATCCCTTCCCTTAGGCCCAAACATGGTGAACTGTCATGTAGTCGACGTTCACATGACACCACTAAAGGAAGCAAGAATATACATATCATTAAAATATCGAACAAATACCAAATTCACACGATTATTTATAACCGGACTTCTCCCATGTTCTCAAGAACAAAAGTAACTACTCACAATCATATTCGTGTTCAAGATCAGAGGGGGATTGAATATCATTAAGGATCTGAACATAGAATCTTTCACCAGATAAACCAACTAGCATCAACTAGAAGATGTAATCAACACTACTAGCAACCCACAGGTACCAATCTGAGGATTTGAGACAAATGTTGAATACAAGAGTTGAACTAGGGTTTGAGATGAGATGGTGCTGATGAATATGTTAATGAAGATTGGTCCTCCCACGAGGAGAGGATCATTGATGTTGTCGATGGCTTCAATTTCCCCATCCCGGAGGAAAGTTTCCCCTGCGGAATCACTCCGCCAGAGAGCAAAAATGCTCTTGCCTAGGTTCCACCTCGAGACGGCGGCACTTCATCCCGAAAGTCATCCTCTTAATTTTTAGGGCAAATGACTTCATATAACAGAAGGAGGGGGTCCCGAGG